AATGCATAATTGAGAGAGAGAGATGACACTCACCTGGAGTCCTGCCTCCAGCTCTGGAGCCCTCAGCACAGGAAATACATGGAGCTGTTGGAGCAGGTCCAAAGAAGAGCCACAAAAGTGATCCAAGGGCTGGAGCACCTCTCCTCTGATGAAAGGCTGAGAGAGTGGTAGCTGTTCAGCCTGGAGAAAAGAAGGCTCTGGAGACACCGTATAGTGACCAGAATGGGCGTGTAGGAATAGGACAAGGAGTAATGGTTTTAAACTAAGGGAGGGTAGATTTTGACTGGATATAAGGAAGAAATTTTTTACAGTGAGGGTGATGAGGCACTGGGACGGGTTGCTCAGAGGGGTAGTGGAGGCCCTATCCCTGGAAACATTCAAGGTCAGGTTGAATGGGGCTCTGAGCAACCTGGTCTGGTTGAAGATGTCCCTGCTCACTGCAGGGGGTTTGGGCTAGATGGCCTCTAAAGGTTCCTTCCAACACAAAGCATTCTATGATTCTATGATCTCCATCCTTGTTCTACCCATCCCTAAAAATTATAGTCTGTTTCTAGTGCTTCTCCAGTAGACAATATAAGATAGTTCTTTATCCAATTCTTGTCAATCTTTCTCTTCCTCCAAGCTTCCATCTTAATTTCCCTTACTTCCTCTTTACATCTCCCCTAATTCACTATCATCCTTCTTCCATTCTTCAGTCCGTGATCTCCTCCTTCTCTGTGTCTCACTAGTTGATTCCAGTTGATTTTTATATATTTTTCTTTCCAGTTTCTTTTCTTGATTGATACGTATGTTCTCCTTGCATCACATTTTATTCTGAACGTAGCCCATGTCTCTGATACATCCATCCTTTTGATGTCACTTCTAATAGCTTCCCAGGTCTTTCTCTTTCTCTCGTTTGCTTCACTGGCTCTTAGCCTCCAATCCCTCCCTTCCTACTCCTTGTCTCACTGCATAGTCTGTCATGACTGCTCTTCCCCTGGGCTCTTAAGCCCAGTACTTTTGTGTCAAATATTTTTTCTCTCTTTTCTCCAGTTATAGCCTTCCTACCCAGTCAAACGCAGCTCATACCTTTATTTTCATACTTGAACCTCTGCCTTTAACTTTCACAATGTCAGAACACCACAGAGCTTTGCCAAGATATCTAAGATGTTCCCAGATCTCCTCTTCTCAATTTCCTACAGCCCCATGCAGCTGCTGCCACTCCATCAGTGAGACACTTGGAGTGGCAGGAAGAGCTAGCAGTAGTAACAGTAGGTTGCAGTGAAGGTTGAAAGCAGCAGATATGCAGGAGTCACGGAGGCAGCTGGGGAAGGAGGATATGGATTTCTGTAGGAGATTTACAATGATAGCCATTAGGACTTAAGTATATTTTCCAAAGTGATGTTGAAGTAAATTCTGAATGATATTGCTGGGTTTTGTTCCACTTGTTTTCTTATATCAATGTCTGTTTTTGGTTCAAAAGATTTCTTTTGCTTGATTTTTTTCTGAACACCATTTAGTTCACTGAAGGGCTTAAACTATGCCTTTGGGCTCTGGGCATTGTTAATTGTTACAACATAAGCAACAATTATGACTGATGAATTTTCTCTGTGCCCTCCCCAGAAATTTTCGGTATTTCCACATCATTCTGTGTAATTCGGCAGCCTGAATGTCCCATATTTCACGCCATTTTAAAGCCATTTTAAACCTCTCTTTGGAGGTTCATATATGCTACATGTTTTAATCACTGCTAAAAAAATGTCAGTGAGTTCTCTGGTAATCAGAACAAAATTCAACCTGTTATGCTCAAAATCTTGTTACAGGTAAAAGCCCCACACTTTATGTAACTAGCCAAGAATTTACTGTTAGTATAGCTGAAATGTTAGCAGTTTCATAAAAGAATTGCTAGTCCAGATTAAATGGTTATAGGAAAAAAAGGAAGAAAACAGAAGACTAAATGAAAACTACTATACAGAAAAACAGTATGGTTAGAATTGCTATACACACACTTCCCGTTATCCAGCCTTTTCCCTGGTGCTACAGTCATGCTTCCTTTGCTCCTTGAAAACCCAAGATCAGTGTTTTCAATTTGGTGTTTTTGTACTGGGGGAGATGCTGCAGGTTACCAGCAGCTGGAGTCATTCAACAGGAAGAGTCTGATATTGACAATTTCTCCTCACTCTAGGATCCATTTAGGGTCATTTTTTCTTGCTAACACATTTTTGCACCCTGCTGTTGGTCAAGTTCAAGTTACACATGATTCTACTATATATACTCCATTTTACATGTAGTTACTATTTCATTTTTCTTACTTAAGTTTGAAGAAACATTTTTGCCGAACTCCAAGTTATGATTTTTTTAACTGACCACTGGTGAGTTGTGTATAGCTTTAGACGGTGCATAGGTTGTCACTCTCTTACAAGACCGTGCCTCTGCTCCTCCACACTGCATCCTGCATCCCACTTCTCAAGGCCTCTGCTGCTACACCAGGCCTGTTTTTGTCTACAAGTTGCCATGCTAGAGTCCCACATATCTTATTCCACACAGAATAATTACTTGTTACAAGTACCTATATAAAGCCATTATTGTGACATAGAAAGATAATAGAAAATTACTAAGAAAATTCAGAGTAAAACAGGTATATCCACCTGACCAGAAGGAAAAAAATCTATTAAAGCTAAACAGAGTAAAACAAAGCTGCAGGCAGGTCAAAAAATGTTGAGACAGCACAAACCTGACAAACCTTGGTCTCGAGGACTTTCAAACTCTATACAAAGTCTGTGACCTGTTACTAGCAAAGGTAATACTGTATTACTGAGGTACAGAGTTACACATCATATGGCAAATATTTTCTGTTTAGAATTGCAGTACGAAGGAGATCAATTTGGAGTTCTGTCTGAATGGCATATTATATTTAGGACTCACGTGCTATTCTTCAGGTGTCCTAGGATATTTAAAATTATATAATGCCTAAGAGGTTATGGAAGATGACTTAAGTGCTCTTGACCATTGGTCTTTTGGTTTTAACCAGCTTGTGTTGCAGTAACAATATCATTTTTTCTTCAATAGGTTGAAAAGAAAATTAAAGCCACGTTGATTGTGCTTCTTTAAAAGTCAAATCCCATTTTAAATTTAAAGAGTATTTCAGTAATTTAATTCATTTAGTTAGGCATGTAACTGAATGTCACTGTGCTTATAAGCAACTCACACCATTTTAAAGCCAGTCTCTTTGGAGGTTCATATATGACCCTAAACAATTGATTTACTGGACAATCCTTGGTTATTGATTTTCATCCTAGTTTTTGTTTTTTAATTTTCAATTTTTTTTTAAATAATCCCCCAAGTGAAAGAATGTAAAAAATGACATTTTGAGTAGAAATAAAGTTGCTTAATTAAGAATTATAATTTGTTAATAGAATGTGAACAGACACCAACATTTTTCAGTGTCTGTAATGTAGAACCTAGTTTTACTTCTTTTGATGGGTGGCATTTCTTAGAAATATTGACTTCGATAAAGTTCATCTAATGCTGCACATTTAAAGGAAGTGTCACAGGAGTCTGATCAACTCTGTGATCTTTTCACAGGCATTGAACAGAAACATCCATTTTTAGGTGGTAGTTGATATCATAGGTGCATCTTAGGGTGACAAAATATACATTAAAACATAGAGAGCTAGATATTGAAAGGTGAAAGAAGGAAATCACGGATTTGTGAAAGAAGCAAATAACGTGAAAAATATTTATAGATGTAAACCAAATTCTGTAATTATGCCCATGTGAAATACAACCACAACTTCTACTGGATAATTGTATATAGAAAATGATATGAACATAACAGTATGCATAAGACACATTTCAACACGTTGTAGGAAGTTAGTCTTGTAGCAGTAGTTGCAATCTCAGAGTCCTTAATACTGTTGTTTAGTTATCAGTGGAGTTCAACCCTGTCTTCACGGTGGAGAGTGTTCATAGCCTTTCTGCAGTGGTGGAGGTGTAACAAGGTTTATTTTCTGGAAGCCGTGGTCCTACCATGCTTCTTTTAAAAAGATATTAATATCTGTAAGCTTGACATGGTGCACTGCAGCAAATACGCAGTGACTTGTACGTCAGTGTGAAGTCAAGATAATTTTTTTCACATTGCTTTTAACCGGTGATAAAAGGTCACAAGTAGATTTGCGTTAGGCTCCACATATATGTCAAACTGTTCTGTACTTTTGCTTGACCTGGATCCAGTCTGGGTAGTTATATTCCATCCTTACATACAGATATTGCAACCTTGTTTTAGAAAGTCATTTTTACTCATTTTTTGAGACAGTTATAGATTTCATACTTTTTTTTTACTTCTTCAGCACATGTCTAAATATTTCATCTATACGTCACAAGTGTTTCATGACCGTACTAGTCAGGAAGACCTGTCTGGGAACAATATTTGTAATAGTAGTAATGGTAGTGATGTAGGTTTAGCAAGGTTTACTTTCATTTCAAAACTTAGGTTTAAAAAAGTGCATTCTATCTTACTTTAGATGTACTGTAAATTCAGCATGTAAGAAGCTACGCTCACCTAAGTTACATACCTTTTGCTAAATAGTTAATACAGTTGTCATGTAATATGTTTGTGGGAACATGTACATAAAAAATACATTAATTTTAATCAGAAAAAAATGCATCCAATGAATTAATCTATTGTACTCTGCTATGTAAATTTTTACCATATTTGGCAACACGTTTAATTTTTTACTTAGATGTCTGGATTTTTTAACAAAATGGTTCATAATTGATTTTGTATGTTGTGAAGCAGAAACAACAGTTTTATATTTATAGATTTATCAAATTTGAAGTAGACTGTTTATTAAGAGTGAACTTGCTAAACAAACTATATGTTTCCTGATTGCAGCTTCTGCATGTACAGTAGCATAAACTTGTTCATGATTATAAACTATGATTTTGAACTTTGTGATATTTCTTCATAAGAAGTCTGCAACTTCACTGTTTGTAATAATGTCCCTTTTTTTTGAATTTAGCTCCCTATTGCAGCTTAAACAGTGTCTTGAGGAATGGTGGAATTGTAAATAAAACAGGTGGTCCTGCTGGAAGTAAAGTTCGCTATTACTGCAAACCTGGGTATAGAATGATTGGTCACAACAATTCGACATGTAGGCGTCACCAAAATGGCATGTATCAGTGGGATTCTCCTGTGCCAATCTGCCAAGGTAAGATATTGTTTTCTTGTTGAGTATGCTTCTATAATTTCATAGCAAAAAATACCTTACGAAATAAAGACCCAGCACTGTCAGTACTGCTGTATGCCAAGAGACACACTGACATCATGAGTTTATCCAAATATATATTGACTTGTGTACTTAACGTGTGCAGAATCTGAAGTATTAAGTAAAGCAGTCAAATACAGACCAAATGAAAAATATGTTTTCAGTACTTTTTGTTTAGTAAAATACATATCTCTAAACAGTCCACAACTCATAGTAATGTTGTATTACAGAACATTTTTAAAAAATTATGTATATTTGAGGCATTAATTTGTTTATTCTAGAAAATCACTTGATAAGCAGTGCTTTAATGACATAATTTGTAACTTCTGATTTTTTGTGTGTCCTGGAGTTAGCCAGGGTCTACTTTAGCTTGTTCCAGACATCTGTTAAGAGCAGCTACTATTTGTCAACTCTTTAGAATTGTCCCTGTTTGAAAAGCCAGACACAAACTACAGAGAAGAGGAGTAACATAGAGTAGTACAAAGCAGTTAAACATAATGCTTTTGCACACATTATTCAGTAAACAGTTAGTGGAGACTAAGGAGTTGTATATCAGATATGATCGGGAACGTAGGGGAGAAGAGAAAGACTACAAATTCTATCCATATCATATATGGCCTATTCTAACAGGTTTTCATGTCTGTTTCTGGTCTGCTTTGTTTATAGGAAGAAAAGGTGATAACATCCGTATTTCAGACTTGTTGGAACTTCTTTGATTGAAACGTGTTTATTTATTCCTAACATTAACAGCAGTGCTTCATGTCTTCTTCAAGACAAGTATTTTCACAGAATCACAGAATGGTAGGGGTTGGAAGGGACCTCTGTGGGTCACCTAGTCCAACCCTCCTGCT